GATACCATCACCATTTTGCAGATGAGGAAGCTGAAGCACAGAGAGGTGATGTAACTTGCCTGTGGTCTGCATCCACCGTGTTCTTATCCACCAGTCTCTCCCAGAAGGGAAGCACTAGCACAGATAAATAGATGCATGATGGAAAATTGACATCCAAGGGCAGTGATCCTCAAGAAGGGGGTTATGAAGCTCAGTGCTGCAATGGTTAGGTGCTTGGCTGGTAACGGATTTGGTTTGAACTCACCAGCCATGCCATGGGAACAAGGATCTGAAAGATCTGGTGATCTGCTCCCATAAAGATGACGGCCTAGGAAATCCTATGGGCAGTTTTACTCTGTCCTGTAGGGTCACTAGGAGTCAGAATCTACTTGATGGCACACAACAAAAATGTCATTACTACTCCCATGCCATAATTTCAAAATGGTTGAGAATTAGGAAGTACAAAGCCCTCTACCATTTGTTACCATCTGAAGAAACTTCCAGGATCCATTAGTTTTCCTTTCAGAGATCAGGTCTTTGCAGCCATGGCATAAAACAGTCTTATTTTCTTTCATGCATCTGTGCTACCTGATGGCAGGTATGTTGTTGTTGTTGTTATGTGCCGTCGAGTCAAACCCGACTCATAGCGATCCCTCCTTGGGTTTCCGAGGCAGTATCACTACAGAAGTAGGATTGCCCAACCTTCCTTCCGAGGAGTGGCTGGTAGGTTTGAACTGCCAGCCGTCTAGTTAGCAGGCAAGTGTCTTAGCCACTATGCTACCAGAGCTCCCGATGGCAGGTATAGGGCATTGATATACCTCCATGGAGAACCAGCTGATGGGTCAAGCACTGGATCAGTGGTGAGGACATTCACCCATTATCCCTCCTTCCTCCTCTAGTCTTGGTGTCACTCCTCTTTAGTTAGGGAGGCTGGAACCACACTGTTACCAGGGCCTCTCTTAGCTCCTAGATTGGAAAGTTCCATGTCTAAACCTCTCTGCTCTTGTCTGCCATCTTTCTGAAAGTACTCAACTTAGAGTATTGAGAAATGAAGGATGTGCACTCTGGCATAATTGGTACTCGTCCACAACCCTCTTTCAGTTTCTCTGACTGATGGCAAATATTCATGAGGCCTAGGGGTAGTCTTATGTTTTGAAAGCCACTTAAGCCAAAGGTCACAAAGCCTTTTGTTAAATGGCACCATTGGATGACAGCCACGTGTATGGCACCCTCAGAAGACAGCCACAGGTATGGCCCATCAGATGGCAGCAATGGGTATGGTACCCTCAGAGAACAGCCATGGGTATGGCACCCTCGGATGGCAGCTACAGATATGGAACCCTCAGATGGCAGCCACTCATATTTGAATCCTCAGGCCTGATTCCTCTTTACCAGAAAAAAAAAAGCTACGTGAGTCGCCATTGAGTTGACTGACTTATGGTGAACCCGTATGTGTGAGAATAGAACTGGTGCCCCATAGGATTTTCAGTGGCTGATTTTTCAGCGCATCACCGGGCATTTCTTCTGAGGTGTCTCTGGGTAAACTTGAATGCCAACCTTTTGGTTAGCAGCTGAGCACGTTCACATTTTGCATATCCAGGGCTCCCATCCTTCTTCAGTGTATCGTAAAAGTCTATCCAGAAAAGCAGCTTGGCCACGGGAGAATGAGAAGTATCAGGAATTCTCAATGCTTGATACCTGGTTCAGCAGTGTTATCTGTAAACACTGGTCCTCAAAGCTGTTTCCTAACTGGGGCATGGTGGCACCTTATCCTGGGAGTTCAGAGTCAGCTGCTCCACAAAGCAAGGCTGCTTGCATGCTGGGCCACTTTAATTTCTTAAGCAGCTTTGCATGAGAAATATCTGCTATGAGAAGGACCATATACAAACAAGCGGGAAAGGATCTTTGTCATGGAGGAAAACATCCACTTTTCATCCAAACATTCTTTGCCTCTTCCTCTATCTGGAAACGGTCCCAGTACAGAGGCCTCACCCACACTCTGAAGCCATTTTAACTGAATCTTATTCAGTAGAAGCCCTGGTGGCACAGTGGTTAAGTGCTTGACTGCTAATCTGAAGGTTGGCAGTTTGAACCCACTAGCCATTCTGTGTGGGAAAGATATGGTCTGCTCCTGTGAAGATTACAGTCCTGGAAACCATATGGGGGTGGTTCGACTCTCTGTCCCATAGTGCCAACCAGCCATGTTGGTTCTTTCCTTGTCGGCAGTCCTGGGCATTCCTTGGTTCCTTGGCCTGTGGATGACCCTCACGTGGCATCTGTCTTCACCCTAAGGGTGAGCATGTCTCTGGTCTAGTCTATTCTTTAGATAACTCAGAAGTGATTAGATTTATCTGTCACCCTACTTGGCTCTGATCTCATTAACATAGTGAAGCAAACCCTATTTCCAAATAGGATCACATCCACAGGAACAGGGTTTAGTTAGGATGCCAATGTGTATTTTTGGGGAGGGGACACAATGTCGTCCATAACAAGATATTAGTTAAAAAGAAGCGTGCCACCAGAGTTCCCGTAGTGTCGCTGAGTCGGAATTCACTGGATGGCAGTAGGTTTGTTTGTTGGTTTGATTTTCTAACTCAACCTTACTTCCTATCCTTTTCCTGTCAAGATATCCCTATCATCTTCTTCTGCTACCTCCGGGGACTTTTAGTACCATCTCTTCCCCACCATTTGCTGGGAGGATCATTAAGTACTGAATCCTTCTCTTTATTCTTTGAGATCTCTCCTAGTTACCAAGTGCTGCTGTAACAGAAGTACCACAAGTGGGTGGCTTTAAAGAACAGAAACTTTTTTCTCACAGTTCTGAAGGATAAGAGTCCAAATCAGGATTTCAGCCATGTTGGTTCTTTCTTTGTCAGTAGTCCTGGGCATTCCTTGGTTCCTTGGCCTGTAGATGACCTTCACGTGGCATCTGTCTTCACCCTAAGGGTGTGCATGTCTCTAGTCTGTCCTTTAGGTAACTCAGAAGTGATTAGATTTATCTTCCGCCCTAGTTGGCTCTGATCTCATTAACATAGTGAAGCAAACCCTATTTCTAAATAGGATCACATCCACAGAAACAGGGTTTAGTTAGAATTCCAATGCGTACTTTTGGGGAGGGGACACATGTCATCCATAACAAGATCTTAGTTAAAAAGAGGTGCTTCGGAGATCTAAATGGCAACTTTGAGAGATAGGGAATGGTTAAATGCTGTCCTGCTAATTGAAAAGTTGGTGGTTCAGATCCTCCCAGAGGCACCTCAGAAGACAGGCCTGGCATCTGCTTCTCAAAAGTCACAGCCTTGAAAAGCCTGTGGAGCACTTCTACGCTGTGCCCATGGGGTGGTCGTGAGCAGGAGTTGACTCGTCAGCAACGAACAATGAACTCCAGCAAGATTCAGAGTTGAGGACAGAGTCCAAGCAAAAACACATTCCAACCCAACTGCCATCTGAGTCAGGGCTGCATCTGTGCTGAGGTTACCACTGATGGTGATAATTGGTTGGTTTCTTTGTTCTAATGCTTAAAGAGTGTGGCCACTGGAGTTGGATTCAAATCCTGACTCTGCCATTCATGTGCTGTGTGATACTGAGAAAACTGCCTCATTTATCCATGTCTCAGATGGTTCTTCTGTAAAACAGAGATTCTTTTAGGATAGTCAGTTTTTGTTATCACGGCTGTTATGTTCTTTAAAGTCACCATGAACACTGAATTGTCAAAGACTGAACCACTACTCCAAGGATTAATTTCCTGCGAGCCACTGATCACAACATTCTCTCCAACTGACCAACACATTGCCTTGTTTTATGTGTGTTTCTGTTTAAAGACACCTTATTTAATATATTGTTGATTCATTAACACTGAACTCACAGCTATAACTCATGTCCCAGGGACTCTTACCTGAAACACATACTTTTCCCCTTAAGGCACATCCCAGCCTTCTTGTGTTAAGAACACTAGAGAGGACTTTTGGACCATGCTTGGGGCCTATCTTAAACAGCAGATCACCAACCGAAAGCACAAAAGTGAAAACGGGGCACTAAATAGACCACAGAGAGGACACTATTCATAGTATGAGATCTAGAACCAGAAGGTAGAATGTCACCTTGTTCAATTTTAGCTGGAGCCTATGCATCAGGCAACTCAATATTCTTTTCCCACTCTGCATTTTCGCAGATGACCACAAAAGCAACACAAGGAGAGGCACACCTCGTTTTCTTGTGCTTGGCTTTGTTATGACTCACAGTGTGTTTTTTTACAAATTGAAAGTTTGTGGCAATCCTGCATCAAGCACATCTGTTGGTGCCATCTTTCTGACAGACTTCATGTCTCACATTTTGGTAATTCTCACAGTATTTCAAACTTTCATGATACTATTGCACACTTCATAGACTACTGTATACATAAACATAACATTTATACCCACTAGGAAACCAAAAACTCTGTGTGACTCACTTTATTGCACTGTTTTCTTTATTGTGGTGTTCTGGAACCAAACCCACACTATCTCAGAGATATGCCTGTATGGATTTGGGGGTTAAAAATCAACTTTAGTGAGGAGATGAATTTGTGGCTATGGAATCTGCAAATAATGAAGATCAATTGTGCCGACCTCACAGAGTTATTTTGAGCATTGAATCAAAATGAACTTCCTAGTGCCTGAAAGTGTTCAATAAAATTCTTAGTGGAAAATTCACAATTGCCATTCAGATCTCTGAAGCATCTCTTTTTAACTAAGATCTTGTTATGGATGACAAGGACAAGGGAAGGTGTCCTTGGTTTTGGTTTGCATAAAAGTTTCTTCTTGGAGCCCTTGTGAGATTCCTTACTACATGTGACCTCAATATGACGGCCGGTGTGTTTATTTGATGGTCCCCACATCCTTTCTTTGATTGCCCTGACTCAGCCACTGCCTTAAAGCGATGCAGGAGCTGTGTGTCTACGTCTCCAGGACCTCTGGTTCTATGTGGATGAGGCTGGCAGACCACTGGGGCTGACTAGGTGCCTGGTTCTCTTTGTGACTCAGGTGCTGGAGAGCTTCAAAATTATGGACTATAGCCTTCTGCTGGGCATCCATGTCTTAGACCATTCCCTCAAAGACAAAGAGGAAGACACCTCACAAAATGTGCCTGATGCTAAGCGGCCAGGCATGCAGAAAGTCCTCTACTCAACAGCGATGGAGTCCATCCAGGGTTCAGGGAAGTCAGGAGATGGGATCATCCCAGAGAACCCAGACACGTAAGTATAGCCACTGCCACTTTGCCCCTTGATCATGGTGGCCATGTCATTTTATCGTTAAGTGCAAATGTGTGCACCTCATGGTTGCACTTCAGGACTGGATTGCCACCTAGCACTAAAATGAATGAAACCAGCCTCCAAGTCTGTTCAGCCATGCAGCAATAGGTAAGTAGCAGTCTTCCAAGTTATCATTATCCTCTTCACCCATGCACTTTGTTTTTTCACATGGCTCTGATTTTAACAATGGCTGGAAATGTTTTTTGCCCCCATTTACTACATATTCAGAAACATCCACCACAAGAAGGGGGATATTTGAAAGTGAATATCAATAAATATTTGAATGTGTGTAAACATGTATTTAAGCAAATACATGATAGGAATTATGTTCACAGGTGAGAACCTTTTCTGCACTGAGAATTCTGGTTCTGCACTCTGGGAGATGTGGTCTCTTGCCTCAGTCAGATATGATAGTACTGTGAGATTAGTTTGTGTGTATAAAGTGCATATTGACTAACAAAAACAATTATAGCCAAAGAATAATCTCTGGAATGAGTTGAGGGCATCACACATGTAGACGGACTTACAGCCTGGCTGTAAGTGGTTAGCTTCTAGGATTTTCCAAAAATGACTGCTTTACGTATATAAAGGCAGTTAACTCATAATAAGGAGTTCTGGTGAATAAGGCATTTGGCTGCCAACCAGAAGGTCAGCGGTTTAAACCCATCAGCCACTAGTGGAAGGAAGATGGGACAATCTACTCCTGTAAAGATTTATAGCCTCAGAAACCCAGTGGGGGTCACTATGAGTCAGAATCAACTTGATGGCAATGAGTTTGTTTTTTGGTTTTAACTTACAATAAGTCTTTTTAAAAATCCTTTCTTATAAATCCATCTAACTATCTGATAATCATTTAGAGAAATTACTTTATGTCAGTGTGGGGAAATATTGCACAGTCATTAAAAATCAAATTAGCATTGAGTTTGAGGAAATGCTTGTAAAACATGATAAATAATCCCCTCAGTATAAGTGTATATGTGTGTATACTACATGCACACACAGGAACAGTGTACCCTGTGTTTATAGCCATTATCTTTGCATCCTAGAAATGGATATTTATATATTCTTTTTCTTTGTGTTTGTCCATATTATATAATAATGGTCACGGTGAATACATACTACTTTTTTGATCAGGAAAAAAACAGTATTGCATTTTTTAAAAGCAGTATTTTGAAATGTGTTGAAAGGCTTGTTTGTGGTTTTTAAAGTAGGCATAATTATTAAACTGAATCCCTTCCCCAGCTCTTTCAAAATAACAAACAAACAAAGGGAGTTCTGATCAGATCAAACCCATTGCCATTGAGTCAATTCTGACTCATAGTGGCCCTATAAGAAGGGGAGAACTGCCCCATAGCATTTCTAAGACTGTCATCTTTACTGAAGCTGACTGCCTCATCTTTTTCCCACAGAGCAGCTGGTGGGTTTCAACTGCCAACCTTTAGGTTAGGAGCCAAATGCTTTAGCCACAGCACCACCAGAGCTCCTTCAGAGTTGATAGCTATGGTGATATTCTCCTCTATGGGGAAATGTACCATTCTGGACTCCCAGGAAGAGGTTTACGGAGGCAAACCAAAAACTAAAACACCCCCACCCACCTTTTTATCCTGGCAGTGTATGAGAAAATATTTTTTCTTTTGCTCTGTCAACAGAATGGGAGGTATCCCAGCTAAAAGCCATAAAGGAGAAAAACTGCTTCTATTTATGGGCATCATTGATATCTTGCAGTCATACAGGTAAGACATCTTGGGGCATGGTCTTCTGTTTTTTCAGAATTAATCCACAGATAATTCTGAAAATTCATGGGATGGAAGTGATTTTATTCTCGTCTCTCTTTCTTTGTCCATTGGCGTTTAGGTTAATGAAGAAGTTGGAGCATTCCTGGAAGGCTCTTGTTTATGATGGGGTGAGCAACTTGTATGGTCCTTGTTAAATGTCTGACTTCTCAGAGACTTTACAGTGTGTCTCAGAAACCAGGGCACTTCTCCAGGGGAGAAAAATGAGGCAGTCTGCTTCTGTGATGTTTTACAGGCTTAGAAGCCCTATGAAGCAGTTCTACTCTGTCCTACAGGGTTGCTCTGAGTCAGGATCAATCCGATGACAGTGGGTTAGTGTAGTTAGACTTCAAGAGAGGAGTGAAAGGACATTATAAATCTAGACTCTTAGGCTAACAGGTTGGCTCAAGTCCAAGAACTAAGACAACATACATTTGAACAACTATTCCAATAGACATCCTTCAACCAAGTAGCTAAGTAGAGGCCAGGAAAACAAAAAAATGGCTGCTTCCTTGTGAAAACTGGAGGGCCTGCTAAACTTTCTCCAATTGTGAAACAATTTCCAGAAGAAGGAGGACACGGTTTTGACAGGCAATGGAAGGACAGTTGAAATGAAGCTTTCACAAGACCAAGGGCAGAGTGGTTGGGCCCTGACTCTGGTAACAGATGGACCTAGATTTGAGCCCTGTGTTCACCATGTCATTGGCCGTGTGATGCAGGCACACTCCTGGTTACTTGGCCTTTCTACCCCTTCATCTGTAATGGGATGTTAGTAGAACCTGCCTCATACAGTAGATATGAAGATTAAACAACAGAGTGCATGTTGGAGTTCAACATGATGTCTCACACATAATAAGCACATAGGAAGTGAAAACTCTTAAATCTTATACATTTATACATTACTAGGGATGATTGGGAGGAGATCTGGTGGTGTAGTGGTTAAAGCATATGGCTGTTAACCTATTAAGGTCAATAGTTCAAACTCACCAGGCACTTCACAGAAGAAAAGCAGTCTGCTTCTATAAAGATTTATAGCCCTGGAAACCCAATGAAGTTGTAAGTCAGAATCAACTCGATGGCAATGAATTTGGTTTGCGGGATGAGTGAAAGGAGCCCTGGTAGAGTAGTGGTTAAGGTCCATGGCTGCTAACCAAAAGGTCAGTAGTTTGAACCCACCAGCTGTTCCACAGAAGAAAGATGAGGCAGTCTGCTTCCATAAAGATTTACAGCCTTGGAAACCCAATGTAGGTTGCTATGAGTTGGAATCAACTCGATAGCTGTGAGTGAGTGAGGGATGATTGGTGGTGTAGTAAAGTGCCAGACTGCTGACTGAAAGGTTGGCAGTTGGAACCCACCATCAGCTCCACAGGGAAAAACAACCTGGTAATCTGTTCCCTTAAAGATTACAGCCTAGGACACCCACCAGGGCAGTTCTGTTCTGTCACACATGGTGTCTCCATGACTCAGAATTGACTTCATGGCACCTAACAGCAAAAACAAAGTGATAACCAGGAGTTCCTGGGTAGTGCAAAACATTAATGTATTTGCTGCTGAGTTTGAGTCCACCCGAGGCACCTTGGAAAATCTACTTCTGAAAAATAACCCATTGAAAACCGTATGGAGCACAGTTCTACTCTGACACACATGGGGGCGTCAGGAGTCAAAGTCGACTCCATGGTAACTGGATTTTTTAGTGGTGATGTTGACTGACAAAAGGATGTTTCCCAACCCAGAACTGACTTAACAGAAGAGAACATCAGTTACAAGAGAGCAGACTCTGTCTCTCTGTCTCTCTCTTTGACACATGCACGCATGCACGCACACACTCACACACACACACACACACACACACACACTCCCACGCACCCACCCTCCATCTGGATATTAGATATGAACTCCCTTCTGCTGACAGGATATTTATTGGCTATGGCTCCCTCATTTAATAACTCAAAGTGGTCCTTTCAAAGACTGTATTGGTCAAAGGCTGGGAGACATATTTCTTTAGAAGCTATTAACAGATGCTGTCTCTTGAGAGAGGATAAATTACAGCTGCCATTTTTCTCCTTTCTTGGAAAAGAACATGAACTTTCTCAGTTCTGTGGGAGACTATTGCTCAGCACTGAAGCCCTGCATTGTCCACAAGCAGAGCACAATTTTTTTTTTTTTTCTAATTGTGAGTTGGGTGCAAATTCCCTTTCCATACAGCAGCTCACATAAATTTTGTCTCATGACATTGACTATAATTTCCCACAATGGAACAGCTCCCCTCCCACTTGCTCCCCATAGTTAATTCTTCCCTGTGTCCTTCCCTCTGTGTACTCTTGACCCCTAAGCTGTCTCCCTGTGCACAAACAGCTCTTCTATTCTCCCATGATTGTTCTCTCCAAGGACCTAATGTAAATATTGAGCTCATATGCCTGTCTTATGTTTTGCTGGAAGCCACAGGAGTGAGTTCAATTCTAGACCTGAAGGGCAGCCATGGGCCATAATCTCAGGGGTTCCACCAGGCTCTATCAGACCAACAAACCTAGTCCATTCTTTTTTTAATGATTTTGAGTTTTGTTTCACATTGTTCTCCCACCCTATCCAGGATCTCCTACATAGATACCCCTCTGAGCAGTTGACAGTGGTAACCGGGCACCATCTAGTTCTTCTGGACTCATAGTCATATAGGCTGAGGATCACATGTGTACCAGTTGCTTGGACTAATTGTTTCCATGTATCTTTGGTTTTATTCATTCTTCTTTGCTCTGGATGAGGAGAGACCCATCATTGCATCTAGATGGCTGCTTGCAAGCTTTTAAGATCTCAGTCACTACTTGCCAAAGTAGGAGGTGGAACAATGTTTTGTGTAGTATGTTATGCCAGTTGAGCTTGATGTTCCCTGCAACTATGGTCCTGAGCCCACAGGTTCAACTACTCGGTCCCTCTGGGTAGCTGGCTGTGACCAGCAGTGACTGCAACCTTGCCCCTTGTCAGCCCATTATATACTTGGGAATTCAGATCATACATACAAAGTTATTGGACCACTGTCTGCCAACCCTGTACATGTTCTTGGGTGCACTCTCCACTTCATATACATACCTAATATTTCAGCCTGTCCACCCATCTATCCACCCATATACCCATGTTTGCCATCACTGACAGCGCCATACTGTATGTGCAAAGGGGTTCATCTTTGTTGTCTGTACTTCCCACATACCTCGCTATGTCTTTCTCTTTCTCAGTGCCACTATATTGATCACTCACATTTGATACATTGCCCTTTTCTTCACCCAAATCAATACTTGTCTATACCTATCTAAGTGTTTCCTGCCCTCCCCTCCCACCCCTGGTAACCAACAAAGAAAATGACCTTCTGTAGATAAACGTTTCCTTGACTATTACAATAACAGACTAATACAATATTTGTCCTTTTATGATTGACTTATTTCACTCAGCATAATGTCCTCCAAGTTCATCCATGTTATGCAGTGTTTTGCAGATTCTACATTATTCTTT